TGCCTCTAATCAGAATACCGACCTAGTCCCTATGCTAAACGAGTGATGCGTCGAACATTGCTAGCAGTCTTGAGTCAACTCTGAGTCCTTATCGTTAATCTGTATAGCAGCTTCTAACCTAGCCCAAGTTGTTCAGTACAAAACACAAATATCAGCCTTCGCCGTAAAAAGTAGTATATTTCAAACATACACAGAGCAGACAGCTTCACACCATAAAGTGAAAAATAATAATTACACAAGATGAAGTCAAAAGTGGGTGTGGGTGTGGGAGACTGTTTCTAATAGATTGAGAATAAATCAAGAATGGCAAATTGTATTACAGTATCTAATAGGTGAAATAAAAGCTTATACATATAATTCCTAGCAGTTACCATTCATCTGTTTTTCATTCAAATGTGACAAATACCTGTACGTTTTTGTAATGGTTGTAGTAGTTCTTCACATTTCAGGTCTGTACAGTAGAACTGTCTTGACGTCTGTATTAAAGATTCTGACTTCGATGTTGGCTGACAGTTATTTTGAGTCCCATATTATTGAGTCCTTGATCTGTCGACCCAATACTGTACAGGAGAGAACTTGCCTCGATTTAGGTTAAGGACTTGATACGATAGGCTAACTGGTTCAACATTGAGGCTAGAATTGCGTGAGTCTGATTGGAGACTAACTGCTTTAGGAAGAGAGACGAAAATTGTTCTATCACCTGATTGGTTGACAAGAGAGCAAGACAGAAGATGAATCAACTGGAAGTCCACTCAATTTATTTCCGACTCCCAATTCGGATTAGTGCGAAAAGATACATGAATAAATACATGATTAACCTAACCACAACGCACAAACAATTAGAAAAATAAGATATTTTACAAACTTTGAATTAGGTAAAATAACGTCCCCAAAAGTAGCTCCTGTTGCTTCTGTGTTCACATCACATATATTCTTCAATTGTAGGAATTCTACGCTTGCTTTGCAAATCCATGCATTTACATCTGCATCAGATCCCCTTTGTTTATCAATGATTCTGTCCGGGTAAGTGAATCATTCCACTTCCACCAGAGCTTCTCCACCAAGTGTGATTTGGTTGTCGTTTGCTATGTTGAATTTCAGGATCTTGCTGTGACGGACGGTGTCCGAAATCTGACACTGCTACATGATGAGTCAGGCACTAACCTCTCAACTGACTACTTGAGCGAGAAAGTATATTGGGCTACCGAATGAAATGCAAAAATACTCATTTATATACCTCTTAGGAAACTAATCGATTGTAAACTTTACAATAGCAGAATATTGAAATTCCCAGCTATTAATCGGATGTAATGCACTGGATGTACACGAGACGGAGATAAGAACTAGAAAGGTGAATAAGCCGTATGTTGTAGGCACTTTACTTGTGTAGACGCTGATTGGGCCGCATGACGAAACTTCATAAGTGCGATCGCGTACTTAATTATCTCACAGCTGAAGAGGGATTATAGGATAAGTTTGAACTTTAAAGATCCATTCAGTCGCGCTATATTGATGCCTGTCAAGGATTGCATAGCACTCGACGCTATAAAAAGGTCTGTACAAGTGTTAGACGGGCATTATCAAATAAAAGATACTTGATAATAATAATAAATTAGCAGAACATAAACCTAGCTGTTTGCAAGGTCAGCTTAGTCGAGATGCGAAGTGGCTCCAATATTATGCTAGTGCCATGACTCAGTATATAAAACGGGATTATGCCGAAAACATAAAGGGTAACCACGCTAATAGAATAATTTGGTATCTTCCTTATCACTCTGTCTTCCACTCTAAGAAGCCTAGGAGTTAAAAATATTGTTCGATTGTGCAGTTCAGTACACCGGGATATTTTTGAATAAGAATTATTATTCTGGACCTGATCTAGTCAATAACTTAGTAGTGCAGTGAACGAGAATATAAGTGGGGACAATCGAATGTATTTGAATACAAAATTACAGAACGTCTTAGTAAAATCTGAGAACCATACAGTAAATACTTCATTTGCAAAATGTAAACCAAACTTGACTGTTCCTTCTGCAAATGTAATCAATCTTTCGATTCTACACCAATTATTCTTTGTCCTCGTTCTCTTTTCTTCGATCTTCTTAACCTTCTGACTCCAGGCATTTCACTTTCTATTGATGGTATATACTACTTATATCGGTCGAGATCAGTAGCACATACCACTGTTGATGTCTTCACCGAGTTTCGGAGACGAACAATATGTCTTACAATGGATATTGAAAATATGTTCCGTAAAGCAGTAGTTCCGCCACACGATTGAAACGCTCATGGGTATTTGTGGTGGCCAGAAGTGGACTTAGGAGTCAGAGATTTATAAAATGAAATTCTATCCGTTCAGAACCTCATCACCGTGCTGCGCCATATTTACCTTGCAGAAAACAACTTCTGATGATCAGGATACTTCCTCCATTTGCATTACGTAAGCAGCTACGAAACAGTTCTTTGTGGACGATTTATTGATGGAAGTGGATACTATGGAAGAAGCCTGTTAGTAGAATATAGATTGGATTAAAACACGTTCCATGCATGATTGTATTGGGGCACGTTGATTAGCTATTTCTTATCCAATCAAAGAAGACTTTAGAATCTTCTCATGCAGAAATCATAAATCTACTAACGTTTTTCTTATTGTAATTCCTACTTCCACCCACCCTTGTTATTTGGAATATGATTTCGTTCCTGTCCAACCGTGTTCTGATTTGGTGACTCGTCAAGTGAAGCAGTGTCCAAGAATACTAAGCACTTAGAGTCGCTGGGTCGTAATAAGAGAAATTATAACAAAGCCAGATAAACATATTCACAACTCAAAAAATTCTGAGATTGGGAGGATTAGTAAGTGTTGAAGTGACAGACTTCATTCCGAGTGGAGATCGTATAAAGGGGAATATTACCGTTTGTGAGTCCGATGAAGTGAGTAAACAAACCTTGGGAGTAGAGTGGAACGTCCGAATGAATGAACTATGTTTTGAAGTCCATACGTTTCACGGAAACACGACCGGAAGAACTATTTTGTTGTATGTAGCACCTATCTTTGAGTTTATAGATACAATAATATTGCCGGTCAAAGTGATCCTACAATATAACTGTCGATAGGAACTAAACCATGGATTGTCAGACAAAGTGGAATTTCTGGTGAATACATATAAAAGGGTTGAACAACTAACGTATACTGAGATGTCTAAGACCAGAAACTGAACCATTATATGCTTAGATTCATTGTTTAGCCAATGCTATCTATGTAGAAGACTTTATTCTATACCATTCTCCCAAACAATAGCACCGTTACCGGAATGCTGGATAGAGGGCCCACTAACCGCATTTCAACCTAGTAGGCATAGATTACTTCAGGCCATTCTGTACCAAACGAAAGAGAGCCGTCGAGAAACGTTACGACTTCTTATTCACTTGCCTGAATATCACAGTCCTCCATATTGAAGTGGCATATTCTATAAACCCGAATTCATTTCCATGCGCATTATTGTCAAAAGAAGCCCGAGGTGCATTTTTAGCGATAATGGTTTAATTTTCAAAGGTGCATATGCTAGTTTGAAGCAGATTATAAGCTCTTGAGATCAGAACAAGATAGAGAACAACCTTAAAAACGGGGTTGTGAATGGCATTTCAGCCCAGCTAGGGCAAGCCATCGACGCGGAGTGTGGGAGCGTATCAAAAGATCAACCACAAGAATTGTAAGGGCACTTCTACTCCAAAATATACTGACTTACGAAGCTTTGCGGACATTCTTGGCCGAGGTTGAAAATATATTGAAGAACAGACCATGTGTAAAAAAGACGGATGATTCTGGCATTCTAGAGGCTCTTACTCCGAATACGTTGTTGATTTGTAAACGAATATCACTCAATGAAGCTTACTCTGATACGACTTTATTGTATCATAAAAGATGGAAAGAAGCGCAAAGGTTAACTACCGTGTTTTAGAATAGATGGATACGAGAATATCTGCCTACCCTTCAAGCAAAGGATAAACAGTTGAACATACAAGAAATTTACAACCAGGTGACTTATTATCCGTTAGAAATATTGAAGCAAGTAAGAATCTATAACTTAGAACCATTATCGACCAAGTAAGTTACAGCTCGACAGTCAAGTTCAAACAGCGAAGTTGAGGACGGAAACCAAAGAAATCATTCAGGAAGTACGAAACTAATGCCTACTTGAAGAAGGCAGTCCTTTAAAGACGACCCAAGATGGTAAAAGTGGTGAATGTCCCGGGGAAAGTGTAAAACGTTATCAACAGACGAACTCACTAATGACAGCATTAAACGCCCATCACCATCTACACTCTTTTTGACATTGTATGACTATGCTTTGTTTATTCATCATTCACAATCTCCCATGTTTATCATAAACGATATTAAGTTTTATTGACTCATTTTTCTTATCCTCTAGTTACCATTCAGTGTGTTATTTATATCACTCCTTTCCCCTGTTTAATAAACTGTAATAGTTGTTTTTGTATGCTAACAGTATTCATTTACGTTTTAGAGACAGATAAAGTTTATTAAGCCAAATAGCTTACATGTTCTAACTTTGATCAAACTAAGATCCAATGTCCTGCTTCAGTTTGGGCACCCGGGCAGTATCACAGCCCTCACACATATCGAATGAGATTTGTGTGGCGCATATGTACTTGGTGCCTCTTTGTACCAATATCTATGTGTTGAAACAAATAAATAAATACAATGTTCGACAGTCTGGGGATTAATTTAGAATTGCGTCTGTAGGAAATTGATTCCTAAACACAAACTACATTGAAGTCATACTTTTTTAGATCGTCAAATGTTACAAGAAACTATACGTCTTGAAATGAAAGTAGTTGGTTTGGTCAAAGACAGCCATAAATCGTGCATTAATTAATTGGAGTTTTGATGCCTCAGTTAAAATGATTCATAAGTCAATTGGAAAATTAGTGGTTTAACTAATAATAAGGTAGCAAATTTTTTAAACAATATTTCATACCATTTCAAGGGTTGATGAGCATATTCAAGCCAAAATTCGTGTATTAAAGGATGCTGTTTGAAAGTATCAATCTGATCGGATTGGGTATATTGCATTTCATGTTCTAATTTGCCCCGTGTCTCAGAGGTCATATTTTTGGATGCAGTCTTGAGTGCACATTCAGAAAACTGACTGAATTGTCTTATAACTTTTTCAGTAACCAATGGAAAATAAGAAACACGAGGAAGGAACATCTATAGGAGAGAAAAATTATTTCAAGACAGAAACATTTATGTAAATTATGTTTACTGACACAAAGCTGCAATGTATTAAAAGGTTAAGTAACAACTGGGAGAAATGACGTTCACAAATTGTATACTGATAAGGATATACTAGTATACACTGCTGTAGACAACGCTGAATCACTTTTAGGTGGATATTAGCTTATGTAATTTTTATGATGTAATACAATAAGGATGTTATAAGGACAAACCGAATTTTGAGTCGACATTCGATATAGCTGGGTTGAGAAAAACTGGAGATCTGATAATAATTTGAACCAATACACTAATTTATAAAACTTTTCAGTAAATCAATTATTAAAAGCTAATAACGACAGATAAAATTTCCTAATAAACTTCAAGTCTCCAACGAAGGCTGACCCATATATATATATATATATATATATATATATATATATATATATATATATATATATATATATATATATATATATATATATATGAATAAAACACGTGACTTATTTGATAGACTACAGAGTAGTTATATTAGCTTTTTGATTATAGTGTAAAACGCCTGTTCAAAAGTTTCAAATACTTTAGCCTTAAATAAAGAGAACCAACCGCTGAAGATATATAAACCAAAGATTCATGGCAAATCAGTCTGCAAAATAACATTTTATAAACTCACATATATAGGCGGAGGAGCATGATCTTCATGCGCCAAATCCTCTTGTGCCAACGTAAAGCAAGCTGGAACCTTACCCTCCCAAACACGCTTCAAAATATTTGAATCTGTCATACGAGCGATGCAGCTGAAAAAATTTAATAATACTGGAGTAATGTAATACTACTGATAAAACATAGCAAAAGTTTTATGAAGTTATACAACACACAAGCGGTGCGCAATTAAGAAAAACATTGGAAGACGGCTTTACTATTCTCTTCATATACACAAACTGATATGTCGTGGTTAAAGTATTTCGGATTTACTTCCATTATGATATCATAATGAAAGCGGCTTAGTAGTTAAGACTTCCAACTTCTAACCACTAATTCCCATGTTAGAAACGTGCCCAACATACTTCAGTCTAAAGAGCCGGATGCTGTCATTAGCCCTCACACTTAGAGTGTGGTTTATAGCTCAGTACCTAGTAGACGAGTTAATTTTATTTTGAAGAGAAACATTTACAAGAATTGTCCCACAATAAATCAATCAAAACACACTTCTGCATTTAATGAGATGTGACAGAAACTTTAGATGGGTTAAAATGTTTAAATGTGAGATTTTAGTCCGTTTATCAGACCATAAACTGGGTGCCGCATAATTCATGACTGATTGACTAGTAAATAGGAAAGTCTATTTACATCGCTAACATGAAACTGAACATTAATACATGGCTGTAACGCTATAGTCATTTCTGGTGAACATTACTGACGTTCACGGCTACATTACAAATGGCTTCTTACATCAGTTTAGATTTGTTATTTAGAGCAATTTCATCAAATGAGGTCTTAGTAAGTGTGGTCACATAAATTTCAAAAAAATCCTCACACATAAGTGGAAAAATAACATCATTCCAAATCTGAGACAAAAATTAATTCTATGCGTATTCTCTTAATCCTTGATATTGCAAACATAATTTACTGGAAATCTCGGTAACTGTAAAAGGCAGTTTTATTTATCCATCGGACATAGTGCAGACTGAGCAACAAACGTCTGAACAAACTTACATACTGCTGAGTGAATTCAAGTTGGGTGCGTTAGGGCTTGCAGCATCATCAACAGAAAGTCAAGAAACAAGGAAAGATGTGTAGTTTAGCCACGGCTAAACCATTTGGGAACTAAAAAATTGGTGCTTATCCAAGTGAAACATATTTCACCATTCGTTTCAATCAATTTCATCGTAAAACCTTAATCGTAGTGCATTGTTACGCATACGGAAGGACATGGTTTCAGTCGTGCTGCTGACTAACTGACCATGCCTATATGGTAAGATTTAATAACCATTTCCTGGGTAAAAGTGAGATTTGATTTTCCCCTAGAATAAGTGCTTCTACATAGTGCAAAAATGGATGGGAGAAGCATACAATAAAATCAAAATTATCAAGTACCATAAGGCTAAAACGTAAAAATGAATATAAGAGTATTTTATTGAACAAAATAAAGTACAAAAGTCTTTAAAATGAATATCTCAAACGTGTCAACGTGGAGAGCGTGAATACCTTCCACATGTACTCGCTCCTTCTGCAAATTTAAAATAAGGTGTTTGGTTCATAACTCCAACCCACTGATCTCACACAGAGCATGAATGAAGCGAGATCTGTTTTACTTGACCAAACGTGTAAGGTTAAACGTCAATATTGCTATGTGAGTCATCACTACTTTCATAGGTCACCAGTTCGACAGAACTACCTGTCACGTGATTACAAAAGCGATTGAAAGTTGAAAGAGAGGATTCATTTTCTTCAATTCCAGAGTCCCCAGAATTCTTAATTAGTTTCTTACTTTTACAAGGACGATAGATAATCGAATCCATCGACATCCTTGGAGTCTTTTTTAACGTTGATATAGTTGACTTTTTGATGTTATCAGCTTTCGATGCACTTTTGGCTTTAGAAGCTGACACATGTGAGTTTCTATTACGAATGAGAGACATAGAATTCAAAGGATTTGCGGTTATATCTGAAGGTTAAAAAAAAGGTTGAAAGTACAATACACCAAATACTTATAAAGTTGAGAATATTCATAAGCGAAACGAACTTTGACTACTCTAGGATGTACGTGGATTCCAAAACCACTCGCCATGACTTCTGTAGAACAAAGGAAATTTCATGATGTACTTAACATTCGTGCTCTCATTATTAAACTATGAACAGATAGATATATAATTATAAATTTAACCTGTTAATGGGACGAAATTTATATAAAGAAGTCTGAGATTGCAATTCAGACTATTTATAATGATATTTTTATGAAAATCAGTGTCACGCAGCTGTAATATCACATAAACTGGTTAGTATTGAGTTGAGTAGTAAAAACATTAGAGGTGATAGTCGATAAGAATAACTTTGATAATCAGGCCTAATGTGATGAAGAAAAGGTGTTTATGGTCACGGAAAGCCGTTTATAATCAGCACTAAAATTTACTTTACGCCAAGTACTGTATTACATTGTCGGTCCGACACAATAGTGTAAAATGTTGGCCAAAATAAATAAGGTAATGATATTCCAATCGGATCTTGAACACTAATTGTTGTTCACAATTTAGTACGGGAAGAAATAATTGGTGACAGAATTATGTTCAACTAAAGCCTACTCTTAAACTCCACAAAATGAAGTAGATGGGACCAAATCTCAACCTCTAACCCAATGGTTATAAATTATGTTTGTCTTCCACGGATGTGAAGCGTTTTAAAACCTGGAAACATTTTCATACCAAACTTTTAAAGTCTAACTAACAGCATTATACAAGATTAGGTTTAATTGACAGAAACGTTCAGTAGGTTATAATACTTCACAAGGTTTGAACCCACTCGAAAACTTGACCTATGTTTGGAACCCGGTAAACGACGAGCCACTGTAGCATTGCATAAACTGAACCACAGCTCCACGATTTATAACTTTAGTACATAAAAACTATACACAGGTACATACTTCTGACCTGTTCGGGAAGTGCGAAAATAAGACAGATATTAGTGAGAAATTTTTAACATACCCACAAAACATTAGAATAACGCACATGTTTATACATATAGTCTATAGTTGATCTTAGAAATGGACCTAAATGTATTGTATTCACCGATACACGAAAGTCATGGATGTGAATTACAAGAGATTCCCTAGCAAAAATTAGATAGACATCTAGTGCTCCCCGATTTCCAGGTGGTCACTTCGCACTGAAAAATGATTTATATTAGTCAAAATATGGGAGGTAAACAAGATTTTAGTTGACTGATCGCTATCTGCTTCAGGTCAGAACGACTGAAATGACGGAGAACTTGCTACGTAGTGTGGTATGATTAGTTGACTGTAAGCAAGTTTAAAAGCAAAGTAAGAATGAGATAATTTTAAAAAAATAAGGAAAATAAGAACTGTGATTTAAATACTGCTGCATCGAACAATTGTGTATTTTCGGATTCATTAAATTCAAATATTGGTAGTAATACTTCCAGGATACATTGGTATATGGACATATTTACATCCATTTACGTAAAATGCCCCCGAACGCCCTGGTACGGCCGAGAGTGGGGAGAGTCCACTCTCCTCGAAATACTCTCACACGGCCACGCGTATACAGCCTCTGCCAGGGAAGTCATACTCATTGCCTTCTCGTGGCGGGGGTGTTGTTTACGAAAATGAGAGGACGAAAAGCAAACGTCCGGCGCTTTACCCGGATCACAAACCAATGGTGCACAAGGGCTCCAGTATCCTGCGGGAACAAATGGCGTATGAACCAATCGTTGGTCACCGGCTACCATGGGATTGCATCTCCTTACGATGCTCCTCTGCATTGTCGGTTAGACCATTAGGTCAAAGGCTCGGGGTGTGGCCCCCTAAGATAACCACCTGCTTCGGTTTGGGCACCCGGGCAGTATCACAGCCCACACACAAATGCTGAACTCATTCTGTCTATGGAAATTACTTTTCTCGCTTCGAAAATCAATAAACTGATTCAAATTATTATCATTACAATTATTGTCATTTTTAATACTATTATTATTATTACCATTATTGTCATTATTATTATTATTATTATTATTATTATTATTATAATTATTATTATTATTTTCCACATTATTCATCCTCTTTTATACTTATACAGCAGCTCGTCTTTGGTGGAAATTCGACTCTATCTAAACGTTCTCGAGTCACTGTCCGGTTGAAAATTGTATGTTACCACCGAATACGAGAACTGAAGCAGTTTTTCTGAAACCACGTGCACCATTCAAACTCGCTGCCTTTAACGTTCGCACACTTATGCACGTCGGACAACAGATAGCGCTGACTATGTCTTTGGAAAGTCTTAATATTGATGTCAGCTGTCTATCCGAGACCCGTATTCAAGACTCTGGTGAAGTACTACAAATTCGATCTCCATCTGTCGCTTCGAAAAGCTTGTTTTACGTGCGCTTATCCGGGGACCCTGTGACATCTTCGTCTGGTCTTGCTGGCGTTGGTGTCGCACTAAGCGCTAGAGCTGAGGCAGCACTAACAGTCCTTTATATGCTGTTAGATTAGAAAGTTCCATCAAAGTGAGAAGAAATCGACGTGAGAAACGATGTCTTTTCGTCATCTCCGCCTATGCCCAAACAGATTGCAGCCCGGATGCAATCAAGGATGAGTTTTACCACCATTTATCTGTTCTTCTCCAGAAAGTGCGTTCGACAGATATTGTAGTACTAGCCGGAGACTTGAATGCTCATGTCGGGCGTCTAGGCACAGAAGAGAGTCGTTTAGGTGACCGATGGGGAATTGTTGGTCGCAGGACAGATAACGAGGACTGTCTACTGCAACTGTGCACAGACCACAACCTGTTTCTGGCTAGCACTAACTTCCGGCACAGTCATCGTCGATGAGCCACCTGGCGTCCTCCCTATGCATCTCAAGCCTGGACTCAGATTGACCACATCGCGATCAGCTACCGCTGGCGTGGTTGTGTACAAGACTGCCGCTCCTTTTGGAGTACCTATCTGGACTCTGACCATGCTTTGGTCTGCGCCAATCTTACCTTACTTTTCAGTGGACAACGAAGTGACCGCCAGCAAAGGATTGATATTAGCAAGCTGGTTGCAACTTCTGTTGCAACTAAGTATCAAACCGAGCTAGCTTCTAGGCCAGCTACCATTCCACCGAAAAGTATAGATGAGCATTGGTCGCAATTGCATGACGCCATGAAAATGGCGGGAACAGTCAGTTGTGGGTTTGCGAAATGTCCCGCTCATAAGCACTGGGTTTCTTCTGGTTCCTTACAACTTATTGAAGCCCGTTGGTCTACTCCGGGTGACCGTGAGTTTGACCATAAACGAAGGTTGTTATGTAGCGAAATTGGGCAAAGCTTGCGTAAGGACCGAGAAGCCTGGTGGTCGGAGCGTGCTAATGAGCTGGAAGCAGCAGCTGCATCTGGTAATTACCGGAAGCTCTTCCAACTCATCCGAGCCACTGGCAGCAAGAAGTCTGGTGTGAGCGAAACAATCTGTGAGGATGACGGGATGCCAATCACTAACATCCATCGACGTCTTGGACGGTGGGCAGAATTTTTCGAAGGGCAGTTCAACTGGCCTGCTGCTCCGGCAGCATCGGTCAGACTGTCCTGCCCCCCATGGCAAGTGACGACTGACCCACCAAATGAGGAGGAAGTCTGCAAGGAACTCCAACTCTTGAAGCGTTACAAATCACCTGGCCCAGATGACTTACCTCCGGCTCTTTTTAAACATGGTGGTGACTTTCTGACTAAGAAACTGACGACGTTGTTTACAAACGTCTGGGAACTAGATAACGTACCCACGTCATGGAATGAGTCGATAGCTGTCCCTATCTTTAAAAAGAGTTCACGTCGTTCCTGCAACAACTATCGGGGGATAAGTCTACTTCCAATCGCGTTCAAGCTATTGGCTTCCGTCATAATTCGTAGGTTGTTCAAAACCCGAGAAAGATTGACTCGTGAGGAGCGGGCTGGTTTTCGTTCTGGTTGAGGATGTATTGATAATATCTTCACCCTCCGCCAAATGTTAGAACACCGTCATAGTTATCAAAGGCCAACAATCGTAGTGTTTCTTGACATCAGGGCTGCCTTCGATTCGTTGAACAGGACTGTTCTCTGGGATTGTCTATTGAAGAAGGGTGTGCCTGAGAAGTTTATTAACATCCTAAAAGCCCTATATACAAACACCTCAGGCAGAGTGAGGGCATACAACCACCTTTCTCCATTGTTCCATCCAAGCACTGGGGTTAGACAGGGTTGCCCAATCTCACCATTCCTCTTCAACTTTGCCATCGATGACATTCTAGAAACAGCTCTGATAGATGTAAGTAATGGTGGTGTGGATCTGTTGCCTGGAGAAAGACTTCTCGAACTTGATTATGCGGACGATATTGTCTTACTGTGCGAGAATGCGCAAGCCATGCAATACGCACTTAATCAGTTGGCAATCAGTGTCCGTAGGTATGGTATGTCCTTTGCACCTTCGAAGTGCAAAGCACTTCTAAAAGACTGGCAGGATTCCAATCCTGTACTCACCCTGGGTAGTGAGCAGATAGAAGTAGTCGAGAAGTTCGTCTATCTAGGTAGCTGCATAAGTGCTGCTGGTGGCGTGAGTGATCAGATCAATCCATGTATAGTGAAAGCCAGAGCGGCTTATACCAATCTGGGCCACCATTGGCGCCTTCGTGATGTTAGTCTGGCTGTAAAAGGTCGGATCTACAACGCGTCGGTGAGAGCAGTTTTGCTCTATGCTTGTGAAACCTGACCTCCGAGTTGAGGATGTTAGACGACACCCTGTGTTTGATCATCGCTGTCTCCGAAGGATCGCTGACATCCAGTGGCAACACCATGTTAGTAATGAAGAGGTTCGGCATCGTGTGTTCGGGCGCAGAGATGATAATTCAATTGGTGTCACCATCTTGAAACACCGACTTCGGTGGCTTGGACATGTTCTACGAATGTCGTCCCAGAGAATTCCACGTCGTGCATTATTTGCCGACTCTGGGACTGGTTGGAAAAAGCGGAGAGGTGGTCAGTGTATGTTATGGTGTCGGGGTATGAAAGAAAGCTTTACAGAACTGGCTTATGTTTGTCCTTCTCGTCTCCCTGGTTGGGGTCTGAAAGATGGTGCTACACAGTGGCTAGAGACGTTATCAGATATGGCTCAGAATAGAAGCCAGTGGCGATCCTGCTGTAACCTTCTTTTACTTTCTTCTTAAAAGTGGTTGTGTCTTCCTTAACTGAAAGGTTTCTTCTGATTGTACCTTTCCGTTCCCTCGTTACTACCACACTACCTTACACCAATCTCTTCGTTATCGTTCTCTTTTTCTTTTGTGCTCCTTAGTTTTTTTCTATCTCTCTTCGAATTTTCATTGTTTTGTGTGGCGCATATATATTGGCGCTCTCTTGTACCAATATTTATGTGTTCAGATAATAATAAATAATAATAATAATTTACGTAAAATACAAATAATACGTGAAGTGGCTAAATTCAATGCAATTAATGCAAACATTATTTTGTCACACTTCAGGTTTTGAACATATTATTATTAACATAGCACCTGTATATTTACCGTCTTCACCTGGTTTACTGTTGACAAAATCGATCCCTATTTTACAGGCAGCGTTAAGAGCGAAGAAATGATTAGGTAATTCACCGGTTTTATAGATCGGATTCCAAAAACTGAGTTGCGGCCTAAAAACCATCCCCCAAATACTTCGGTTTGGGCAAACAATCAGCAAGCGCAAATATGTAACTGGTTATGATATAGCGAGGAGCAAGTCTGACAATTATTTATTAATTTTACAGGCTAGTGAATGACCCACGAAATATAAACCCTACAATTATTGATGTATTTTAAATTTATTTTAATTGTTCATATTAGCGCTAAAAATTCTGGATATAATTGTGTAATTTCGGAATATAAAACTATGCAGTTTTGGTGACCATTTATTTTGTCATCTGATATCCGTTGATTGAAAGGCTTAGACCAATACTTCAGATTAGTGAATAATGGTCACCTGGTTATGATCTCTCTTATTAAAACCCAGCTATTCCTATTACGTAGTATTTTTAGGACACTTTACTTCACCCGACAAACCCCTAAATCAGAAGATGGGTGGGTAGGAACGTAATTATATTCCAAATAAACAAAGGTTGAGTGGAAGTAGGAATCGCTATAAGAAAAACGTTATTGTATTTATTTATACAAGAAGATTCTAGAGTACTCTCTAAGTATATACTAGCGCTGGTTGGCTCAGAAATGGCCAATGACCATGCCCCAACACAATCCTGTACGGAACATACTTAAAACCAATCCACATTACGCTAACAATACCTACTGTAACTGATTAATAATTTGCATTATTATTATTTCAATTACATTTTTCAACAGCACACAACAAATAAACGTGTTACTTACATTATATGGGAACTTATAAACGATGCATATGGTTCATATTAAAAAAACTTACTACGTTTCGAATGTGTAAGGAACATAACTTTTGCCATAGTTGAGTCGTCCTCAGTTTCTGGAAGAAGTTCAACGTGAGACCCGGTTAGTGACAAGCGGTTTAAGAGAGAGCTATCTCTGACCAATTTTTCCTCAGATTGCTTTTTGGCTTCCTAAAGTAAAAAAGTTTATGAGTTGAAAGCAACTAAGAAAAAACTCACTGAATAAAGTAATTTGGAATTTCGATTTTCATTTCGTTTATGGTCAATGAAACATATATAGAGAGAATTGATAAAGGACAAATTGAATACAATTATCATAAGTCAGAACTCCAAAAGCAGGAAGGTAATCGGACAGATTATTGGTTACTAAGATAAAAGATCTTAAGAAAATATTGTCCGAATTTTAATTTGTTGACTTCTAATTCTGCACAACTGACGTACGAAAATTTACAGACCAGTATACTTACTAACCTACACCTGATACCCCTCGTGGAGGGGCTTAGGCTACATAAGAGCACTATCCATCGAACAATAAAATGGGTGATACTTTCGAAAGGCTACTTAATCTTTTGATGTCTCTTTACGACTACCGACTTTGACACCCCTTTATCCTCCTCCTCTTCCCACTGCCTACGTCGACACCAACTATTTTGGAGGCTGCTGATACTTATTATATTAACAATCTGCAACTTCATTTGGGATAGAAGAGCTAGGTCATCTTCGAACTCCAAATCGTCTAGTTGCATGTAAGCTGTACAGTGTATTCTATGCTTCCCCTCTGATGTCGAGGTCTTCATATTCCAGTCGACCACCAGAAAAAAAGAAAGGCTAAGAATAAGCAGCCTTGTCTGACTCTAGTCCTTACTTGGGATGGGTCTATGAGATACCCTCCATGAACGACTTCGCAGTGTAGTCCGTTTTATGAATTCTGTATGATATTTACGATCTTCACAGGTACACCATAATGTCGAAGAGTTCCACAAGGTCATCCTATCCATACTGCCAAACACTTAATCAGAGTCAATGAAGTTGATGTACAGTGACCAGTTCCACTCAACTGATTGTTCAACGATAATCCATAGTATCGCAATTTGTCAGTGAACGACCGATCCTTATGGAATCCCGTCTGTTGATCTCGAAGTTGGACGTCTACTGAATCTTCCATCCTGTTTAGCAACACTCTTTTGAAAACTTTTGCTGGTACTGACAGTAGAGTCACGACTTTGTGGTCCTCACATTTGCTCAGATCTCCTTCCTTTGGTATCTTGACGAGGTATCCTTCTCTCCGGTCTGTCAACACTTATTCGTCCTCCCAAATCTTGTTGAATAGAACGTAGAGCATGTTTGCAGTTGCTACTAAATCTCACTTCAGTGCTTCGGCTAGTACGTTGTCAGATCCTGTTGTCTTCCGACTCTTGACTTCTCTGATGGCCATCCTGATTTCTTCGATCGTTCAGTCAGTCAGTAACAACATAGAACTTCGTACGTACGTACATCAGTTCGAGTTGCCACACCACCTTAACACAGAGATGCAGTTGTCGATCCAAATCCCGTTGTGGTAGAGGTAGCAAGAGCGTAAGCAGTGATCGGGAAGATTAGGGTTTGGAGATGTTATTTAAAGAGTATAATTCAGTGAAATAAATTTGGAAAGAGGAAAAAAGGGACATGAAGAATTCAGGAGATTAGAATTTGCGAGAACACAAAGAGTGGATGCACCTGCGCCATTACAAACGATTTTGAGCCATGTCATTCAAGGTCTCTAACCATCGGTTGCTATCGTCTCGAGGATCCTAACCAGGTAGTCTACACCTACCAACATGACTCAGACCACTTGTCAGTGACTTCATGGACTTGTGCCATGTTTTGGTCTGGCCGGCCCTAGTTTTCTTCCAACCTACTCCTATACCACTGAACATAGCACGTCGAGGCAGTCGGTCGTTGGGCATACGTAACACGTGTCCCAGCCATCTCAACTGATATAGTTTCACTACTTCATCAATCGATTTGCCATCCTTACCTAGAACCCGTTTCCTAACAACTGCGTTACTTGCTCGATGGTTCCAGGATATACGAGCAATATTTCGAAGACACCTTTGATCGAATACTAGTAACCTACGAATATCCTCTACTCTTACCGGCCATGTTTCACTGCCATAAAGTAGGACGGAACGAACTGCTGCGCAGTAAACACGTCCTTTGGTTGGTAGACGGATATCTCACCTACGCCATAAATGACGCAAGTTAGCAAAAGCTAGTCGAGCCTTCTGTATCCGTGCTGAGATTTCGTCACACACCAGACCACAAGGGCTGATGAGACTTCCAAGATAAGTGAAGCGGTCGACACGCTCAACTACTCCACTCCCTATCAATAGTTCGGGTGTCGATGCAACCCAATCCTGAAGCAACATTTTGCATTTCGAGAGGGAGGATCGCATCCCGAACATGCTTGCATTGTTGCTTAGAGTGGTCAGAAGACTCGGCATTTTGTCAGCGTCTTCGCCAAATAGAACTATGTCATCGGCATATTCCAAGTCAACAAGTGACATTCGGTATGTGTTTTGAATTTCTCTGTTCTTGTTCTGTTGTTGTTAATTACTGTCTTCTTGTTCTTCCTTTCTTGAATCCTGTCCAGGGTTTCCATAGAGATCCATTCCTTATGATGATGCTTCTTGCGACACAGAACCATCTGACAGGTTGAAGTTAAAAATTCCTTAGTCCCATAACAGTTGTCCTCCATAACAGTTTCTTCGTTCAGTAGATCCTATAAGGCCTGGAGTCTGATGCTGAGAGTTATCTTGAATTCGTTGGGTTTGTCAGTATCTCAAACGAAGGCTGTATTGAAACTTTGTAATGCTGTTTCCCAGGTTGTCCGGTGTTTCTTTAGCTTCAGTTTCATCTCGGCTGAAACATCTGAAAAATACGCAGATGACGTAGTTCTTTTTAGTGAAGACTGACAAAATGCAGTCTTCTATCCACCTTAAGCAATAATGCGAGTATGTCTGAGGTGCAGTTCTATCCCTCCAAATGTAAAAAAATATTACTTCAGGATTGGATTGTCACCCCCTAAATTACTGATAAGGAATAAATTAGTTGAACATACCGATCAATTCACTTATCTTGGGAGTCTCATCAGTGCTGATGTTCTGATTTCTGACGAAATCTCGGTACGGGTTCAGAAGACTCGATTAGCTTATTCCAACTTGCGTCACTTGTAGTGTAGGCGAGATATCTGTCATCCAGCTAGAAGGTGAGCTTACTGCACAACAGTTCGCTCTGTTCTGCTTTAGGGATGTGAAACATGGCCATTAAGGGTAGAGGATATTCACAGGTTACTGGTATTTAATCACAAGTGTCTATGAAGCAATGTTCGTGCATTTTGCGACCATAGAGTAAGTAATGCCTGGTTAAAAACCAAGTACTAAGTAAAGATGGGAAATCGATTGATGAATATTAAATCTTCATCAACTGAGGTGGTCGTGATGTGTTATGTATAATCAACCACCGCCTACCTCGGTGGACGATGTTTTCTGGTGCAGGAGTAGGCTGGAAGAAAGTTAGGGGCGGTCAAACCGACACATGGCGTCAGTTTATGAAGTCACAGAAGATTGGACTAAGCTATTTTAGTAAATGCCGACACCAGGTTTGGGTCTGCGTGATTATCGTAACCAATGGTTACAAATTTTGAATAACAATGCTCAAAATTGTCTCCAGTGGTGTAGGTAGATCCATTCCTTGTCTTCCACCAAATTCTGAGACACTAAATTCCCCATCACTCTTTTTTGTTTTTGTCTCACTAATTTATATTTTATTTTCGAGTCGTATCTTCGATGCCTAATCTCTCCTATTACGACTGATACTGTAACTATCTATACTAATCTGGGACTTGACCTGACCTGAGATCTCTGTGCTAATCGAGTATGGTAACCTGAATCGATGTACATAGGTACAAGTCCCACGTTGTGACTCATTGATTTTACTTGTCCTTAAAGTCGGGGCTTTCAAGGAATCAGTCAGTCAGTTACACCGTAGGATCAGGCACATACATGCATCGGTACAAGTTGCTACACCTCATTAACACAGCAAGACGAACACCGAATTCATAGAAAAGGTTAACTAAATGGTCTAATAAATAAAGGAAAGATTTTATGTAAGGATATAGTACAGAAAGAAAGATATGAAATAATTTTAATCTCATAGTTTAAGGGAAGAAAGAAAGTGTATACACCGACGCCATTGTGACCGATCCTGAGCCATGTCACCCAGAGTCTCCAAAAATTGGTTACGACAGTCACGCATACACCAACCAAGTAGTTTGCATCTACTAACACGGCTCAGACTAGAAGTTAGTGACTTCAAGTACTGATGCCATTTTTTGGTTTGGCCACCCCTAACTTTCTTCCAACCAACACCAACACTAGTCAACATTGCGCGTCGTGGTAATCGGTGTTCAGGCATATGTAACACATGGCCAACCGTCTCAGTCGATGAAGATTTACAACCTCATCAACGGATCTATCATCATTCCCTAATACCCTGTGTCTAACCTCACTATTACTTACCCGATGATCCCAGCAGATGCGAGCAATATTTCTAAGGCATCTGTGGTCAAATACTAGTAGCTTACGAGTATCTTCTACTCTTAACGACCATATTTCGCAGCCGTACATTAGAACAGAACGAACTGTTGTGTCGTATATCCGTCCCCTATTTGGCAGTCGGATATCTCGCCTTCGCCATAGGTGACGTAAGTTGGCAAAAGCCAAACGAGTATTCTGGATCCGTACAGAGATTTCGTCAGACACCAACTCATTAGGACTAATCAGACTTCCAAGATAAGTGAAGTTGTCGATGCGTTCGACTACTTCACTCCCTATCCTTAGTTCAGGTGTTGACACAGACCAGTCCTGGAGCAACAACTTTCATTTAGAGGTGATGAAACGCATCTCAAACAGCCTGGCATTGTTGTTTAACCTAGATCTGACTTATTTTCGTTTTTCATCGTGTTCGGATCCAACTTTGATGAGTTTACGAGAATTTATCAGTGCAGTAGACCTAGAAGAAATCTATTGGTTCTTTGTAACCCTTCGGTTTAAATCACTAACATATGTCACTGCTGTTTCCACAGCCGTTTGTATATCTTTTCAAGCAACATCTGGGTCAGCCTCGTTCTCAGAACTACCTAAATGAGACCTCAGTGGTTCCTGGAATTTACTTTCGGCTTTCTCATCACTCAATGCAATCCTAATGGGTTTTATTAATGTGGCTTTCCTGCGTCCAGTGCGGCGCAAGCAGATGCGTGCTCGTATTAGAGCATGGTCGGAGTCCAAGCAGGTATCCCAAAACGAGCGACAATCTTCTATCGACCCTCTCCAAAGATGACTGGTGGCAATATGATCTATTTGAGTCCATCGTTGGTTTGGTGCAGGAGGTCGCCAGGTTAGGCGGTGTCTCTCCGTATGCTTAAAATTTGTGCTTGCTAAAAATAAACGATTGTCTGAGCACAGTTGCAGCAGACGATCACCGTTATCTG